AAAACAACTTTTTAAGATATATTGATTAGAAACAGTATGTTTATTTATTTGCAAAGTAATTAACCCTTTAGCTGGTAAATGAAAAAAAGTTCGGTAAACTATGTTCCAATATAGTAATTAGTTTCATACCATTTTGTTAACTGGTGCGTGTCATCCCACGCAAACGCGTGGACAGTTTGTTTAATACACGTGCTCAGCGCAAGCCGACTTTTTTAAAGAAATACCATTCATAAAAAAACATGATTAATAATAAGCATGAGGAAAGGGTTTACACTATCAAAGTTTCTGTGATCACAGTAGGAATTTTGCATAGGTAAATTCTAACTTTTGAATGATTTGTAAGATATGTTTGAGGAAACTGAGTGACTCAATGTTAAACACCGAGTCGGTTTTGTTTAACAAATTATCTCTTGCTATATAATAAGCGCTATAGCCTACATGTAAATTTAACTATAGCCCTTGCTATAGGCATAGCTAGTTGCGATAATGAAATATAAATGATAATGTATTGCAAATTTTTCAATAATTTTGCATTTGTTAAAGCAATTAGGATACGCTACTTAACCATATATTGGGCAGGTAAAATTATAGGGATTGCTATTACAAAAGCATGATTATCAATATTATAAGAATTGGATTGTAGACTGTATGTAGACTTTTAGGAATTCATGTTTGTATTGAAATTCGAAAATAAGTTTTAATTTACAAAACTAGTGCAGAAAAGTGCTTAAAACAAGCTGGAGAGAAGGTGCTCGACGGAAATTAATATTGTTGATTTGTTGGAGTATATAAAAAGGAAATACACGAATCTTATACATTCAACCATATCTGAATAAGAGACATAAGCTTAGCCAGGGGCCCGTCCACCCATCATTTGGACGTGTATTTTTAAGTGTGGACGGGTAAAAGAAATGCTAAAACTTCAGTATTTTGTCTTTCGTAATTAGTACAACCGTATGCCGATTTTAATAAAAACGACGATTATGTTAATGATGGGAACCATGCTGTTTGGTCTTCAGTTTTGAGCGCAGTTTTACACGTGTTCTTGTGTCTGCTAAGAATCACGTTTTTAGAAGATAAAATCTGATAATTTTGTAAAATTATTCCAAGGGAAATATAATGTTTTTGGGGAGGGGGAGCAGAATTGGCCCAGCACTTTTGGACGGGTAGATTGCTAATCCTGGCCAGGTCCCTGATAAGAGACTGTAATGGTTATTCAATACAGCAATGCGTTCATCTCAATTGTTGGATGAATTTACATGTTTCCGCAATGACGTCACAGTATCTTCGACAAGATATATATATTATAGTTGGACAAGAATTCAAGGTTACTTTGATTAGGATTAGGGAATAGGATTAAAATTAGGTTAAGCTTAGGATTGGGAATATTTAAAGTAAGATGTCGTTGTATATAAATTGAGGAAAAATTATAGCAATCGAGCGCAATAGTTTAACATGTGATGCAATCATTAGGCAACTTCAATTAATGTGAATTCTAAAGTGTCTGATCAGACGATATGATTATTATATATACGTGGTAGAACTATGTTATCACCTGAAGATGGCATTAAAAAAAATGAACAAAAACGCTTGATTATCAAATAATGTGTAATGATTTACCAAACACTCCAAATGTTAAGTATTATTGTACATTGATGTTACGGAAGAAAAAGACCATGAAAATCCTAATTTACCCGGAGAAACTCCTTCAAGCTGGAGTTCAAGAAATATTCACAAACAAATATTCCGAATATAGTAACATTTAAAATCCTGACGTATGGGTTATCAAGACACAAATTGATATTTCAACTTTATTCCAAAGCGTTGTCAAACCTATTTCACACATTCCGCCGTGTTTTTTTGTTGAGTACACAATTCATAAATTTTCTTCATATTTTTGCTGTAAACCTTGCCCGCCCCCTCAGAGATGGCGTTCGCGATATATCGGCTGCAAAAACCTGGCGTCATTATCGTAACATTAGGATCGTAACGTTTGTCCCTGCTTGTTATCTTGGCTTAGCGGCTTAGCGCGAAAACCTTTGATGAACCAACACCTGGGAAGATCAATAAATGACCAGCTAATATGTAAAAAAACCCACTAATAGCACTGACATGCTATTCTCGAATTCAGCTCCCCTCAAAGGGAAAACCATTTGAGTTTCGGGTGTACTATGGTAGCCCTTTAAAGCCTTTATTATTCTGAGGGTTCAATTTGATTCCTATAGCGGTACCACTTATCTACAGCGCTTAAAGTGTTGTATAATTTAACTAATGAGGCGCTGTTTGATGCCGATAAAAAACAAATTAAAAATGAATTTCTTAATCACTCGTCGTTTCGCTTTGAACACAGCTTTGAAAAGGCTGCCTACAATTTATTATTGTAGCGTCAAGCTGAGCGCGTTATCTGTAATCGTCGTTCGTTTTTCGCTGTGGTTTTTCAAGACTACACCACCATCTCCATAGCTATAGTAAAGCCTGAATATTCCATCAATTTCCCAGCAAAGTTTCTCCAAGATTTTATAATTAAAAAGCAGAGAACGGTAGATTATAGTGCATGCTCTATTCATATGTTAAGCAACGGGACGGCAATTAGTACCAGCCGAAATTGAATAGCAAGCATTGTCAAAGTCTGTCCGCTAAATTATCGCTCTTGTTGGCTCCGACTTGTTAATATTACCGCCCTAAAATTGCGAAAAACGTATGGGGATTTTCTCACAACAGCCGCCTATTTGCCTCAAATGAAATCCCCATCTCAGCTAGGCTGATATATTTATGAATTCAGATTTGAGATTATTTGGTATATTTTATTGCTTTTACAAGGTTATCGTGTGTGTATTGGTAGATCTTATCAAGATAAGATGTTATCTCACTGATAATATTAACAACTTAGCACGCTTGTTAGGCCTAATTTTCAGCTATAGATTACTTTTCATGGACCAATGCATCCATGATCATAGACTTTAAAGCCGGCTAGGGTATGATGGGGGAATGCTAATTCTCTCCTCCAAAAAAGGCTTTAAAGGCCCGTTTAGTTTGCCCGCGTGTAGGTGCGATTTTCTTCTTCTGGCGGATGTGAACGAGTGGATGAGTTATGAATGTTCAGATGAGGATACATGTCCTCAGAACATTCGTAACTCATCTACTCGTTCACATCCATCAGAAGGAGAAAATCGCACTAGGAATCTGGGCAAGAGTTGCACTAAGTGTAAACGAGCATTGAAGAAAGAAAGAATTTCGTAATTGTGCTAGGAGTAAAGATGCGGTCATACTTTCAATCTCGTACGCAGACTGGCATATTACTCTTTGGCTCTGGGCATGAGATTGGTGGATATTGGCTGCGTGAGAAAGGCTAATTACGAAATTCATTCTAATTAAATTCATTCTAATTGAAATTCATTCTAATTGAAGCCTCTGCGGAGGAAAGAGGGGGAATGCAGTGTTTGCTGTGTTTTTGAGTTAGCTTCTCTATAGGTAAGGTAGATGACCATGACGTCATAACGGCAAAAATAGACATTGTTGATGATATACCAGATGATACAATGGTTTATCTCGCAGGGTGCCAGTGTAGGTAGTGAAGAATACGAACTCTGCAGATGATACAACTGCCTGAAGAATACAAAAGAACTTCGAAGACCCAAATCTTCCAGACACTTCGCTCGAAACGTCGAGGTTCTGCTCATATTTTTCCGGTGGTTGTATATACTTCACATCATCGAGCTTTCAGATGAAGAGCCGTCGCTCGAAACGTCGAAATTCTTTTTGTATTCTTCAAGTTGTTGTATCATCTACATAGGCCCATAACTGGAGCTATCTTGCAGTATGAATAATGAGTTGGCTCCTGAATAGAAAGAAAGCATTATGAGTAAGAGAAAGCATTATTACACAAGATTGAAGAGAAAGCATAGCAATAAGAGATGATTTCATTAAGACAGAGGAAGATAAATTAAGAGGAACTAGAGGGAGTGTAGAAAAATGAAAACGAATGAAAAGAATGTCGTCAGAAAGAGATAAATCTAACATGATTACCTTAGCTGGCACAGTAGTTATAGGCTGTTTGCTCAGCGGTCTGCTTGACGTGACACAGTACTCTTCCCCCTGTTGCAAATCTGGACCGCTAGACCTTTCAGGGAGAACAGTTTAAAACTGACAGAGCTATCCAAGACAACATTAGTTTATTTTTGCACTATATCCATAAATTATATAATCAAAAATTGTATTAAACTTGATACACAATGTCTACGATATACTTTATACATGCAGATTAGATAAGAGAGTATCATTTCTACAACGTGTGCTCGCATGCATATATATATATATATATAGATTATATTAGTATACATATACGCACTTGAAATATTGTATACCGTAATAAGCGTTCCATACATAAAATCCATTCTCATATATCTTTTCATTGGATTCAATATAATTTGTACTTTCTGACCTCAAATGAATAGTCCTTGATTAATATCGTTGCCTTATTACAAATGTCCATTGATCCAGGCTTAATATTCAACATGTGAATTGCCCCTTAATTTCGCCGAACTCTATGTCTTTGGCTGCAAATTAAATTCCCCATAAACACGGTGGCAGCCATGTTTCATCGCTATTCTGTGCTAATGTATCGCTTTAATGAGCTATAGGTTAGAGACCTGTGATCTTGCGCCGTGTACTGTGTAATGAGATTGTTTCCTTGCCGCATAGCAATATGACAATAGCTCACTAAACACTAGCAAACAATACAAATTAAAGTGTTTTCTAAACAGCGATCGAGCGAAATTAATTTCTTTCAATTGCAGCGTATTCAAAAGATATTTACGGTGCGTAGGCCGCGCCGAAACTCGATTGGCGGTGTAGCGCAAAGGCGATGGAGGCTCACGGCTGATGCATGGCTATTAACTACACTCCTAATATTCCTACCAAAGCATTAGTGGTTTCACAAACTGCGTGAATATCTTAGGAATGTCAGTGCTGGAACAGTCGTTAATGCATGTGCTTTTTATCTCTGTGCATGGCTGTGGTTAGATTCCTACAATGTCTCCTCATCAGTATTTTACCTTAGTCACATTTCAGAGGAATGCTTTTAGTTTGATTCTATACCGAGCACTCCAAGTCCGGGTACTCCGGTTCCCTCCTGTTGTAGCTCGGGATCAATAAGGAAGGCCTCTTATACTCGACCGTTCTAGAGAGAGAACAGTTTGGAAGTGATAGAGCTATCCGGTATAAATAGAGTCATATAATATGTTGTTTGTGTGATGTTACTCTGAGTGTACATCCACACCGGGCAGGCCTGAAAAACATGCCTGGACACGGTGGGAATCGTACCCACGACCTTTGGAACACTAGCCGAATGCCCTGCCAACTGAGCTACGCGGTCAGGTCGGTTTGAGTATATGCGATATTTCGGAACTGAGTCATATAGTTTATATTATATCATGTACCTGGTGAGTTTAATTAAGGGTGCGGTCGGAGCAGCGTGTCGGGAATGAAGAAGCGAAAGTTTTTGGTAGATTCCAGACAAAATTTTACTATCCTGTGAGCTTGGGTGGTTTGTGTGTGAGATATCTAAAAGGATACTTTCAAGCGACCTTACATATTTGAACAGCACAACCTACGTCGACAGCCCACTGTTTGCGAAGCTTATTTGGCTTTCAAACTGTCTTTGATGTATTTAGCAGTCTAAGACCAGTTTAGCTATTTATGGACTGTACTTTTCAATCATTTTCGAGAGCTAAGCCCAAGGTTTGAATATGAAGTGTATTTTCGGATTAGCACCGTCAAATGTTAAGCTCGCCTGTACATAAGGTAATCCTTTAAAGGTCTTCAAATAGCCGATCAACTTTGCCTGTGGCTTTGCGCACGGATTAACTAAGTTCTTAGCGGTCCGGTGTAATACAACAAGGTCGCAACCTTTGGTAAACTGTCAAAAAACAACAAGGAATTCTATATTATGCAGCTATAGGGAAATTGTATGCGCTTGCATATATTGACCAAAGGCATAGATAAACTGACCATAGATAAATAATATATATGGCGTGAAATCTATATATACATCCATGTTTGTCATTTTGAATAGTATACCTGTTTGGTGATGGACTCACAAACAACTCTCTAACTTTGTGAAAATTGCATGATAATTAGTTTATTTTTCTACTAAAATATCCCCAGTAAACTAAACTGAAGATTTGGTATCAAGGTCTTGCTACATTTTCTTCTTCGCAATGAGAAGATGTTTTTTTGTACTATATACTTATATTCCATATTCGTGATCTATTGTCGTAAGGTTTAGCTACTACTGTACTAGAAAGATCTTTATTTAAAAATTCAGAGTGGTAGTCCTTTGAGCCTTTCAGATGCTAAATAAAAGCTTCTGTTATCAATAGGAACCCTGTAACAAAACTCAAAAGGACTTTAGCTTCGTTTGAACATGTATAGAAGGCAGTGTGTCCAAAGTTTAGAAATTTCCCCCCAACAAAATTCAACTACAGTCGTAATTGTAAGCCCCTCTTTGCCTTTGGCAAATTTAGGCTATGAGATGTATACATTCATTATACGATTCAACCGACTCCGTTTACCTTTGAATAACAAGAATGTTTTTCTGGTATTTGACTAATGAAGAGTTTTTAGCATCTCAGCAAACATGTAAGTTACAGGTGACCACAGTCTGTGCAGGAAAGGACAAGTCCATCACAAATAATATATCCACCAAATAGCTACAAACAATACGTATATGTTGTAGATTACATTTTCACACCATACTGTTAGATAATTGCCAAGCTTTCAACAATTTCCCAATGTGCGAGTTTGTTATGCGTTCGAATGTGGAACAGAACCCGACATTATAGTGTAGCCTCAATAATCAGTCGTATATGTTATTGTTTTTGAGGTCGGCATGAATTGTTATTTCCTGAACTTTTTTTTTATTTGTCAAATGTTTTCCAAGACATGTAAAAGTTGCTATTCAAATATATATAATAAACGTGGGGATCCAGTGTAGGTATTCTACAATAATCTGCCTTGGTTTGTGTCTATATCATTTACCTGAAAACTAATTTTACTCGTGATGTATAGGGGCTTCGCGCCTTGGCTTAGTAAAAAATCTCAACTGTTTAATTCATAAACTATTTTAATTTTGTTTAACTCATAAACGTTTTTAATTCCCCACTCAAAACTAACACAGTCAGGCAAGAAATTTTAAACAAATCATGTATACAACTATGGCAAGTAGCGTATGTAAATAGACGCAAATGAAAAATCAAACAAGCGATAAATTACCGAAATTCATAAAGTCGAACTGTTTAAACGCGGTGTACTGTCTCTCAAACTGGGTGCATTTTGAGAGAAATTGGTATGTGTGTTTAAAGTCAAAAAGGGGGGTAGCTAATGTTCTCCCCTATGAAGGTTACAGCATTCTCTTAGGTGTGCCGCGGCAATATCAAACCGGACCCTTTGCAAAGCATCGGTACGGCTTCCACCATGTCGGCTTAATTAGGGACATGGCTGCGTCGGCCAATCAGATGTAATTACGGCTAATATAACAGTCTTGCATCTCGCGCATCGGACATGCTATGTACGTGTATATGCGCGACGTCTCTCACTTAATTAGTTGACGAACAATTGGCGCTAGCGATTCAGCGTGTAACAATTAAATATCAAGAACACACAACAAGTGTGGAGTCGGGTTGTTATAAACAGCTTGTCACAAGCGCCGTGTTAGTCAGTAGAGCGAGTGACAGCTAGTGTGCGCTTGAGAGTACACCTAAGTAATATCTCTTATTTTCTACTCTAATTCATTCAAAGCAAGGTTATTTGTGTAGTAAAGTTACAATTACGCAGCAAGTTTTTAAACATCAAAGACGCGTCCCGAAGTTCTCAATCCAGACGATAGTTGAGGAGGACTGATATAGTTGAAGAGACTTGCAAGTCCGCGTTCACGTTTACAGCAAGAACAACATTCTAAAGGATTCTTCTTGGAGAATACCCAGTGCTGAGGATTTACCTAGACTGCGGTAAATATTAAAACACTGAGCAGCCATCAAAATTTCACAGCTATTACTTGCACACTTTGAAGACTTACCTTATAGAGGATTCAGACGTTCGTAGACGTTTTCCACTGTCAAAGTTTGTTCAAAGTATCAGTGAAGTATCTTGAGGCTGACATACACAGCTTCTCAAGTAATCGTTAAAGCAATTACTTATAAGATCTTAAGTGAAGCAATAGAACTGTAGTTTAAACGAAGTTTAAAGAAATCAAGTTTTCTATATCTATATAGAACATTTTAACCTTGGTTAGTACAGTAATCGAAATATCCTGACCGAAGCTATGAAGTCCACAGGATTCACAGTGAGTCATATATTAGACACAGTTGACGAGTCGTGCAGAAGGGATGAAAATCGAGCTCGTAATGGTAAAGACATTGATAGCCTATCACCGCAGCGAGCCAGTCCAGATAACATCAAAATTGATATAGTTCTCCAAGAGGCGGAATTATGGAGAAAGTTTCATTCCTTAATCAATGAGATGATTGTAACCAAAAATGGACGGTAGGGAGATATATATGTTTATATATAGACTGTAGTAAAATTAAATATTGCCCTGTCTCGCTTGAAATATTGCCCTGTCTTGCTTGAAATATTGCCATCCTTAAAGTGATGTTAACCAACTGAGCAGTTTACATTCCAATATCTTATCTTCTATTCGATTCGCTAGACGTTGACACGGAACGTCTCTTCTAGTGCGCTAAATCATCGCGAATATGACATTAATTATATACATTTCATTAATAATTGCAGTAAAGCTCTCGCGTTTTAAATATAGGCCATGAAAAGGACATAAGCTTTCGATACATCAAGTTCAATTTCACGATTCTATATAGACAAAATAAGTCTGGTAGCGATTCCTTAGACATAGTAGTATTGTCTAGCGATATCAAAAGTTGTCTGTTGCGAGAGACTCTTGTGTTTAATGTTAAACAATCAACGTGTCGGGTTTTAGAATAAGTAAATTTGTAAACTTTGTTAACTATTCGATCATCTAGGGATATTTGTTCGTCAGGCAATCGCTCTCATATTACTGTGAAAAAATACAGCGTTTGGAAGAATAATTGATACTTTTGTTTGTCATGCAGTGCATGTCAACGTGATACAAGTCATGCTTTGTTGCTTCTTCTCTGTTGTTTTCCCTCTGAATGAAACTGATTGCGTTTGGCAGTGTATAATGACGAAGCTATATAGTCGGCTTGGATTTCGTGAAAGTTTGTGTGAAGACTTGAGGGTCCAGTGTATAGGTAATATTCTTCAATAAGCTATCGTGGTCTGTGTCCGAAGAAGATCAAACACGCTTTGATGAAGATGCATGCTCGTAACGAAAGTGCATTCGCTTAAAACGTTGAAATGTTTTATTTTTTTCAGGCAGTTTAGATACAAACCACGGCAGGTTATTGAAAAACTATACACTTGACGCCCACGTTTAAGATATCTTTTTCAGGCAGTTCAGACACAAACCACGGCAGCGTATTGTGGAATACTACCTAGTACCTACACTGGGCATTCACATTTGAGATATCTTTTTTCACGTAACACAAACCACGGCAGCTTATTGTAGAATACTATAACCTTGTACTGGGCATCCACTTTTGAGATAATTTCGTCATCTTAGGCTACGTTGACACTATATTGGATAGCTTTGCGTAGCGGCATGAAAAAGCACCAATCCGATACGGAATGTACAACTTTCATAAGCTGAGCGAAACAACATCTCTCCGTTGTAATAATTCCTCTAAAAATAGCGTTCCTACGAAATACGAATACTTGGTGTTTTTCACGTCGCTACGGAAAGCTATCTCGTACAAGTGTAAACGAGCCTTATATATACGTATATGGGCGAATGTGTTCAGTTATCTTATGTTTATTATACAAGCAGTGTCCAGTCGCTATCGAGCTGGAAAAGAAAAATCATTTATCTCTATGTTTAGTATAGTAATATTTTCTCTACTTCTATAGGCGAATGTTTCCAGTCATCAAAGTATCAGTGAATGGCTTGGACCCGCATTCAATGTACTCATTCCTACTGGATTTCGTTCCCGTTGGAGAAACAAGATGGAAATACGTGAACGGAGAATGGATCCCTGGAGGAAAAGCAGAACCCTCGAACCCGAGTAACATCTACGTCCACCCAGACTCTCCCAACTTTGGCTCACATTGGATGAGACAGCCCATCTCGTTCTCTAAGATAAAGCTGACTAACAAGCAAAACACAAACGGGCAGGTACTTGTTATTTACTATTATTCTTATTATGGCTATTCATTAGGAATATCGTCTTGGACGCAGACCCGACATTGACAGCATTCCGCCAAGTTGGCGAGGAAACCTGGTAACCTCTTTGTTCAAAACGAAAATATTCATTTCAAGTTCTTTGCGTTGAAAAACAACCCTGTACACTTTTACTTTTATATACCCGTTTTTATAAAACGCTTTGTGACACTTTCTTCCTCAGTGTGCGGTAAACCGTTGAGTGGCCACAAGAACATTTTTTTAATCGTTCAATGAAATATTAACGAATATTAAAATAGCGCGTGCACGGTCTTTTAAATGCTCTTCCTTTTTTAAGCGTTTCTTGTTTGCTTCAACAAGTGACAAGAACATATATACATCGGGACTTCCGGAGTTTAAAGACAGAGGGCATGAGCCGTATCATAAAACTTTATTTATAGCTCGTCAGTTCTAAAATTGGTCTCTCTAAATGCCCCGTAATCTCGTATATTGCTCCGTGCTATACCTATACAGTATTATATTATAGGAGATCCCAATGAAATTTTGAAACACAATTCTCACATACACTGGAAAAAAATGTGAAATCCATACTACGAAATTTGCAATTGCACTACTAAATCCATAGTATATCCATCCTATTCCCATACTATATCCATACTATATCCATACTATATCCATACTATATCCATACTATGGAAATATACAATTATTATGGATAACCAAAATCCATTCTATTTCCACTAAAGGTCCATATACAATTTCCATTCTATGACCTTCTATGGATTTTCAATTTTTTTTCCAGTGATATATATACGACTACATGATATCAGTTATTTCGTTCATGTTTAGATCAAACTGTTTATCGACAGGTGATTTATTTGTCTTACGGAGTTTTTTCAGCGCAATGACTGAAAATGCAAAATATCTTTCCCAAACAGGGCTTGTTCTATCCGTTTTCCCCACGTAGTATTAACCTCATGTTTTAAGTAAATCTCACTTGCACGACAAGTTTTATATCTGAATGAAATGTAAACCTGGTCAAACAATACAGCTTACATGAAGTAACGACAACTTGCGATATTCTTCAGTCACTTGTAAATTTCTTGGAATGTCCGTTTCGAATTTGACTACTCGTTGCTAAACTGTGAGTTTAAGCACGGTTATATCTATTAACCGTTGTTTAAGGTAACCAGCGCTTGAGTTCAAACTAAACTTGAACTAAACTAACTATATTTATACTGGATAGCTCCTGATATCACAGGAAGAACTCTCTATGAGAGAAAACCTGTAGTGTTTGCTAGAGTCAAATCAAACTGAGACTACTGGATATTGTATAGGAATGAAACCTCAGACAAACTCAAAAAGCAAAAACGTAAAAGTCCAGAGATGCGTTTTATGCATGCAGGTATATACGATACGCATCCAGTGCATAGTACGCGTTCCGGCAGATATATACGGTACGCGTCCTTCGCTCGAAACGTCGAAATCCTCCTTATATTTTTCATGTAGTTACATCCTGCCATCCTGTAGTTACATCCTGCCTTGTTCATGTATTTCTACAGAACATGCATCGGAGCGAAACGAAGGCATTAAAACCTTTCTCTCTATACCGTTTAATCCATTTTCCGCATTGCGCAGTCACTGACCTTTACCGCTTCATATAGGCTTGTTAAGTTCACCGTTAATAGCTGGCAATTTCCGGTCGCCTCGGCCTAATCTCATCGATTAGAGGAAATCCATTATGTTGACAGTTTGTACTTTTTTTGCGAAATTTGTTTGCCATCTGGAAGTATCTGTGCTTAACTAAACAATGTCAAAAAGCGCAGACAAATACAGGGGAGACTATTTATAAAGTGTAATCTTAGTAAAACATAGCGAGTTTAGCACCTCGTGAATTTAGTTTTCCTATACGATTTTCAGTTGTAAATATTTACTTCCAGCCAGATAAAGATGAAGACACAAGCAAAGTAGTATAAGATCTAGTACATATAGCTTGCATCTTATTGTTCCAATGTTCTAAACTGTTCTCTATAGAGATCCAGTAAGGGTCATCTTTATTATATAGTGTTACCACATGAGGAGGAAACCTAAACGAGTTCTAAACTGTTCTCTCTAGAGATCCAGTAAGGATCATCTTTTATTGATCCAGTGTTACTACAGGAGGAAACCTAAACTAAACTAACTTTATTTATGCTGGATAGGAGCTATCAGTTCTAAACTGTTCTTCCTATAGAGATCCAGTAAGGATCATCTCTTATTGATCCAATGTTACTACAGGAGGAAACCTAAACTAAACTAACTTTATTTATTCTGGATACCTCTATCAGTTCTAAGCTGTTCTTCCTAGAGATCCAGTAAGGATCATTTCTTATTGATCCAGTGTTACTGCAGGAGGAAACCTAAACTAAACTAACTTTATTTATACTGGACACCTCTATCAGTTCTAAGCTGTTCTTCCTAGAGGTCCCAGCAAGGATCATTTCTTATTGATCCAGTGTTACTACAGGAGGAAACCTAAACTAAACTAACTTTATTTCTGCTGGATAGCTCTATCAGTTCTAAACTGTTCTTCCTAGAGGTCCAGTAAGGATCATCTCTTATTGATCCAGTGTTACTACAGGAGGAAACCTAAACTAAACTAAACTAACTTCATTTGGATAGTTTTATGATTTCTAAAATCCTGGGGTGTTTAGCAGAGTATAATCACTCTTTTGTCCATGAATCTTAATTAAGCGCGGCTATCTTTATACTGTTTTACGTTTACTTTCACAATTTAAATTTTGGGTCAACACAATTCACTAGGCATCTTATTACAAATACACGCTAACAAATTATAAATATTCTATATATTTTTTCTAGATTATGTTGAATTCCCTTCACAAATACGAACCGAGGCTGCATGTCATTAAAGTTGGCTCATCTAACGAACAGCAGACCGTTCTGACGCATTCGTTTTCTGAGACGCAGTTTGTTGCAGTGACTGCTTATCAGAACGAGGAGGTACGTGTTGTAGCCCAATTGCCGCGTTTTTAATTTTCACTTTCGCTTGTTTAATGAGTACATGCATGTATACATATCCATTTTGCGAAATTTTAATTAGAGCAATAGAGGACTTTGTTGTTGTTTGTAAAACGTATACTTTCTTTCCATTGCCAATATAGCTCTTTCACTTCTAAACTGTTCTTATATATACACTAAGTTCAAATTCTCTTTCTTTATATTGGATAGTTCTAACAGTTAAACTGTTAACTGTTTTTCCTTGAGATCCAGTATAAGACGCCCTATTTTGGGTAAATATACCAACAGGTGACATTGTGCCTTTAAATGGCGACGAAAGCTATACTAAATTAATTTTCTTTATACTGGATAACCCTGTCTGTTCTAAACCTTTCTCTATGCTTATTGATATACAGGAAACCTTCATGCAACTAACGTTATTCATCAGATAGCTCTATCAGTTCCAAACTGATACCCCAGAGGTTCAGCATAAGAAAAGGCGTAATCGTGTTTTTTTCTGTCAATTCGTCTTTTTAGATCACGTCGTTAAAAATCAAATTTAACCCTTTTGCCAAAGCTTTCCTGGACGCGAAAGAACGGTAGGTGTGGTGGATGCAATCAGCTGTTGGCTGTGATGCTAGGGCAACTGCATGTCTTTGACAGTCCTGAACTTCCACAATTTTATATATAGTTCACTAATTTTGCTATCTTGTTCTTAGACACGACCATAAGGAACCAGAAACAATGCCAGAAAATCAGACCTCTTGTCCAACATGTAAGTTTTTACCCTTTTGTAAGTTTTTATAGTTTGGGGCTGGTATATGGTTTACTGCGGAATTTTAGTATAGCAAAATAGTATAGGAAATGGGCATGAATTAAAATTTCGTACATAATAGAGTAGAAACACTCATTAATTCTTCGTCCATGTTTTATTGAAATGTTTATAGTTTTACACAAATAATGTGTTTTGATTATTACTTTTTTCTCGAAAATTTAATATACGAATATTGCCACGCATCTATATTGGTACTATGTTACAGTTACAATAACTTTTAGGGATAGTGGGATTCCTATAGCTTCCCTACAGTTGAAATGTATCAAGATATGCCATATGGCTATAGCAATTTACAATGTCAAACCTGAGTCAACTTTATACTATATGTTGGGTTTCTACATGTCTATAAATACATGATAATGATACTTCCTATACGTGAGGTTCCTACCTCCCCTATATAGTTATCAAGTAATATGCTATATGGCGAGTATTTTACAGTTCCAACCCTGCATGAGTCAAGGGTTTCTACATCAGGGTATATAAATACATGATAATGATACTTCCTACGTGAGGTTCCTAGCTCCCCTATAATTTATCAAGTAATATGCTATATGGCGAGTATTTTACAGTTCTAAACGTGCATGAGTCAAGGGTTTCTACATCAGGGTCTATAAATACATGTAACTTGATATTGATACTTATAGTTCCAGTTAAATAGTGAAAACGTTTAGAGATAGCGGGGTTTCTAGCTCCCCTACAGTTCTAATTTATCGCGTAATATGGCGAGTATTTTACAAGTATGTGTTGCCTTGTCTGTTTACCTAAACACACAATCCCCTGCATCAAAGCGTCGCCGCATACTGGCGGTGTCGGTTCCGGCTTGCAGCGAGCGATACCGTGTCGCCAGTCGCTCTTTTTGAGCCAGGACTTGCACTTTCCGCTATGTTCACAAATCATTAAAAACTGGGAACGTTTTTAAGAGACTTTACCGCCTGGCCCACGAAATTAACCGCCTTCTTCGCACACTAATTGAACTTGAGAAAGTTCGAGCATTATTAAAGCTATAGAGCACGTGGGACGCTCAATAGTTGGCGGCTTAAATTTACTCTTAGATTGCAATAATAAACTTTTATAGTGAAATATGAATTTTATACTTAGCAGAGAATGTTCAGTCAAGATTTATCGTCATTTACTTCCTTGTTAAATTTTGTTATTTGCTTTCAATCATTTTCCAAATAAGTCAAAACTGGTATTTTTACTTTCGTATTGTGTGGCCGAAATGACTTTAAAGGAAACCTATTAAAACGCACTGGCTTGGTCGTAATGACTTTGATGTTGAAATGAGTTTGTCTTTCTAATACCAGCACTACGTGTGACTTTATACATCATAAACTGTCTCGGAGTTGGTATTCGTACCCAATGTAAATATTTACAGTGGTTAGATAGTTGGTACAGTACAATGTATAAAGCCCTGAGCAAACTACAGGAAACATTGTTGTGGAAACATTTGTGATTCTCGATGTTTCCTCAAATGTTTCCCTGTTTGCTCACTCATGGAAACATTGTTGCGGAAACAAAAGTTGCTTCCGGAGAAGCAAAGATGTTCCTATAGCAAATTCAGAAACATTTGATGTTTCTCACTAATGTTTCCTAGTGTTTGCCCACTCTTGGAAACATGGCGAAACATTGGTAGGAAACAATGTTTCCGCAACAATGTTTGTTAGTTTGCCCAGGGCTTAACTGTGGTTGCCGTCATGAAGAAAATAGACTTTATTGGCGTGTGTAAATATCCCTCCTACTGGAGCTTTCTTTGCTGGGGAGAGGTCGCGCTAGTGCGGGGTTTTGCCTTGATGATGGGGGTTCAAATCTCTCTCCAGTCATTGCGTCCTTTGGCGCAACGCGCATATAATATCTTTCTGAGCGCGAAAAGGACCTTTGCGGAAGAGAGCGGGGTCTTCTCTCTGTTGGCCTGCTGATTTTATCCATGTGAAAGATTTTATTCATTGCTCCCCTAGGGTAGGTTTTAAAATAATCACTATCATGCGACTCGTACATTAACTCTCCCACATGGTAGGTTTTTGGCTAGTTTACTTCCAAAACTTTGGGGAGCGCTTATGATTGTACTTCATTCCGTTGGCCAATTATACAGTTAGAATATTCGCCGCTTCCCAAGCATGTTCACTTTAACATTAGGGAACTTTGGTTTGGATCTGTGAAAGTTATTAATATAATGTGGAGAGTTATATATAGAATTAACAACCTGTGTGGCTATACATTTGCCTGTTGTTATACTATCATTTTATATAGATATTTCTTCAGTGAAGAATTAAGCTTGAGATGGTGAGAGTTGATGAGAGCATGCAGGCAAGCGAGAGTTTGCATGACGGTTTTCCCAACTCAAACGGGAACAAGACTTGAGTATGTGAGATTACCACGCACTGGACCACGCATAGCAAAAATTCTCATCAACTCAAAATTTGAACCAGCTCATGGTTGTTAAATAAGAGTTGGCCGTCAGACGCGAGCTACAATTGACACTCTTATCAACTCTCATCCTCATTTGCCGGGAGATTTATCATTGAACTATTAAAGCGTGATATATAGTGGGTGAATTTTTTATTATCCATACTTTGGAAAACAAGAACATTTAACGGCTTTGAATTTAAGTGCTTTTTTGAACACCATGCTGTGTTTGTGAATTGTCGGTTTGAAATTACAGATTTTACAAGCCTAATAATTTGTGAACTATTTGAAACAGGAAAAGTATATATGTACAGTTGTCAAATATTGCAACTAACTGTCATTCACGCTTAGCCAGTCTTGCAGGTGGTATTCACATGATATACATAAGTTATAAGCTTAAAATCATTGCATTTCACGGTATTGTGTGAGCTTACAGTTGGCTGTCAATTCAAACATTCGTCTCTTTTCATATATTGTAACCTGTTCGCAGTAAAATTATACGACCTGTTAGTCACAATCTGTCTCAAACAATCGCATCATGGCTCATGATATTAAAACTGAAAGCACAAAGACTGGCAATTATTGCCACAAACAAACCACAAGCTGTTTGTCAACAAAAAGTATAGTTAAGCTAAAGTTATAGTTTTCGAAATGTACCAAGAAGTAAACTTTTGATGCGAAATTCAGGAAGTTGTACAATAGACCCTTGGACCACTTCCACTAGTAAAATTAGGTGAAATTAGGACAAAATACTTATACGATACAGTAGAATAGTTACAAGACCAATATAAGATATATAAGATGTGTTTATATAGTGTTTTGATTCAGAGAGTGCTCAATATATCATAATGGCAGAACTGTTAGCCTGGTTTACCTCAAAATCTTCATAGTCATTGAATCATTAAGTGGGTTTTGGTTCAAGAAATGGCAGATTGCCATTACCATATATAAAGAGAACGGAAATATAATATAAGTTGAGTTTTCTTAGAATCTTCACTACCGTCAGTTTAATCCTATATAACGATCCCAGCTGCTAGTCACATAGTATTATAGTTGTGCTCACTCATAATAAAAGCTCACTCACACTCATAGAGTGGAGGTTCAATCTTAGCTTCCCTTGACTGTCAATGCTGTTTTTGAATAGCTGGAGGGTGAGTAGTCACATAGTAAGGTATGACACTAACTCCCCAGCTATTCAAAAACTGCACTGACACTCAAGGGAGCTCAGATTGAACCTTCACTCTTTAAGTGTAAGTGAGCTTTTAGAATACAGGCGTAAGTAACTGTGTTTTGGTTCATGAAATGTCAGAAAGTCATCAATATCATAAGGGTAACTGGAGAGCAAATACTCGAACAAACATAGTTACAAAATCTTCACTATCGTCAGTCTCCTGAAGGTTCTATACATATAATTAGATTGAAACCGTTAGTAGCGAAAAGTTTGAGGGAAAAGCCAATTTAGTCATTGTGTATAAGTATATCTATCAATGACCACATATCCTTATCATCAAGATCAGTTTCACAAAACATTAGACTTTTTACAATCCATTTAATTTTGCAATCATTTTGACCTTTTACAAACAATTTAATTTTGCGGCAAAGTCTAATAAACGTTATTGGCCCGAAAAGTGAACGGTATGCACTTGATTAAAGCTAACAATGAAGTGATCGCTTGTTCATTTAAATATATAATCTTGATATATTACTTTTCTTATTTTAATATATATCTGTATACGACTGTTAAAATTGAATCTCAAATGATATAGTTTCATAGTCTGGGGTAATGAAAAATATTCACTTAATCGTTTATTTTATTAACCGACAAAACGGAGGGTTGTATATAAATGAAAAATTTCAAGGACGATTATTAAGTGTCATGGATACAGTTCTGCTAATTGGAAGGAATTGAAGAGTTGTGTTTATCATGAGAACAATTTGGCTAAACAACGATTAGATTCCAGCTGCAATATAATTTGTCTGATTATAAATTCCACCTCAGTCACATGTGAGAAGAGTGGTTTCATGTTGCTTTGAGCAAACATCACAAGTGTTTTTCCCTGCACTCTTGTTTTTTATAGTTTGTAATAAAATATGACATCGAGGGGATGATCCTTTACCCTGGTTGCCAGAGGTTCTCGTATCTTTCGCCTTATTCCCGCTGTATTACTCCATCTCTGGGAAGAAAAGTTTAGCCAGACCTGCTATCTCTCCAGCAAGTAAACTGCGGAGTGATTGGGATACAACAAACTGAATAAATACAAGCGAAACTTCAGAATTTCTGCTTGTATTTTTTAGGTTGTTGAATCCTTACCAATCCACAGCTTTCTCATCATCACTACCTACACTAGCAGAAACCGTTTCGAGATCATATCTCTCCAATAACATATTAGATGAGACGCGTCGTCTCTATTTAGAAACTGGTGTAAGTACTTCAATAGGCTAACTCTATTACACGGCGTCGTAATCAAGTATCTAGAAGGAGCGTTGTTTCTCTTTCTAAATAAAGCTCTTTTAATAAAGGCAGCCTGTATACACCGACTTTGTCGGTTGAGAGAGAAACAAGGCAGACATTTGCTTTGTCGGTTAATAAAGCAAGTGCCTTAATCTGCTAAATTAGTCTCAAAATTGTTGCGTCTAAGATTTAATTTACAAGCGGGGGAAGTAGAAATGAGTAATTTTATACTGTTGTATATTTCTGATATTCCTAAACAAACACATACTTTATTGCCAGTTATACTCAAGCCAATGATATTTATTCTTTAGCTAATCATGTATATTACACTTTCGCACAAAAACTAAATTAAGAAGCAAAGCTAACTTTGATGCTGAGAACATATGGCACGATTGTATAATCAAACAAAATAAATTGTTTGAATATGATATACTTCATAAATTCCCATCGGCTCAAAAATGATAGCTGAAACTTTCTATTCCCTCGCGGTGGCCGGTGGAACTTTGATATTTTAGCATTCGCGTTGTTTCTTTGTTTTTACTGGAGCTCGTTAAGCAGTTTCGGAAATCATATTAGGGCAACTGTTCCTTATTTGATTGAAAGTAGTTTCCAAGTCAATCATTTCAACTAATCATAGGGTAGTATAGTGAAGATAGTGTTCCAGGTCTTTTAGAGTTCAATGGCATAAGCCAGTTGACATGAAGGTAGCGTTCCTGTTACTTTCTGAGCTCAGTGACTACAACAAATATGATAGGTTAGTTTCTA